GAACGCTTTTTGTTAGAGATTGTATGTTTGCGTGCGTGGTATTTAAAAGGCATGCGAAAAGAAAAGAACTGCCGGATCGAGTATTTCCCCGCGTAACATATCGAAATATTACGGTAAACAAATCAACGATCTTGCTTGGTTTCCGTACACACAATAGTTCCATTAATTAATATTGAAGTAGCAATCATTCCGATACGCTTGAATGAAGAAACCGCAATACGAAACTGGATAATACAAAATCGATTTGGAGATGAAAAACTCTTTGTAATTAACGTTCGAAGCACTTCTTTTGTGCCTGGGAACAAAAGCTACCGTAAAGTTAGGAACATTTATTTCCCTTCGGTAATTGAACCGGTTCGTCGAATTAATATTCGATTTTGCCACGGGGCTTGATTTACAATTTGAATATTCTACTGAATATTGTAGCGAATATCGTACGGCCAGTAAATTTTTAAGGTGCGGTTAGCACGCGTGTTCGTAATAATGAAAATAATGAAGGCGCACCTGCAACGTACCTAAAATCGAAACAACCGCGTACCATGGTCAAACGTTCAACAATTCAGTAATATATACAGCAAGCAGTACTGCATTGGATACCGTAGGCGGAACATTTACATTGCATTTAATTGAATTTGTGCGTCAGAGCGTTATTTACGCCAACATTTAATTGCAATGTATTCCGCGATATTAATTTTAAAGCGGAGACACGAATTTTCCCGGTGGCATGGTAGCGCTGAGCCCATCCCCGCCACCCCCGCAAGGAGGCTCCTCGTCAGGCGCTGTCCCGTGTCTATTGTCGATTTACCTGGACTTTTAACGCCTCATGAATTATGCAGAAATCAAGTACGCCGTAGATTGCACATGTTTAAGAGATGCAATTGCCGCTGCTAAATTTTACACAAAGAATTTAAACCGATAATCGGACGCGGCTAGCAACTTCATTTGCATCAATTACTGACCCCCGAAGTTTCTTCGTTGGCGAATTAGCCGCCAGGGAGCGCGTCGAATGCGAGATAAAAGGAAGAAGAGGCGACGGGACCTATTAAAATAAAGGAGAAAAACAAGTTTCGAGATAGTTGCGTTACGAGCGACGGGGGACGTATAACGATCCGTGCTTGGCGGTCGGCTGAGTTACGTCGCCCGTCGGGAAGTTATGCTCCTGCTTATCTTTCGAATTCCACACACTCGCCCTATTGGACGTGTTCCGTTGGTGGTGGTGCTTTTAACTCCACAGATTCGGAAAAAAGGATTAAACGAGGCCGACGAGGGTACGATATCCGCCGGTGGAATCGCAGATTGACGAGATCCACGCAATTCGTTCGTGTAACTTTCGAATTCTAAGCGATCTATCGCTCTCGTTTCATGCCTCCTCCGCGCGTCACAGCTTTACTCGAAACGTATTATCGCTCCCCCGTTGTTGTACGTACATTACTCGCACAAGAGAAAAACCTTTATTGGAAATTCGGTAATTGTCCGCAGTGATTAATCTCCTTATTTATTTCGGTTTTTGTCGATTTCCGAACCTTCAGAAGCCAATTTACAAAAATTGAAAGCAAGTTATCAGCTTCGTTTTCTCTATTGAGAAAAAGAAGAAGAAGAAAAAAACAAAGAAAGCTGATCAGCTCGAAAACAGCTATAATTAAATATTACTGTCATTCCCATGAATATACACGAGTATACGAAATTCAATTGCAAGCGAGTCGGCCGCGGCCTCGTCGTCGCGTGGCAGAGCAAGAAATTAATTCCTTCCAATTTAAGAATTGGAAATTGGGATTTTCTGACTGATCGGTTCGAGTTCAAAATAGTTTGATCGAGTTCATTGATAGAACGGGTGGCGATGGGGGAGAGTAAAGGTAGCGGGGATAGAACCCGATTAATGAAAGCGGTAGCGAAACGGGTTTTGCGTGGCCGTCCGGTGAAAATATAGCTGGTATACAGTGGAAACGCGTACGATCGGTGATGCGAAAGCAGGCGGGGGAGGGTGTAGGGTGTAGGAACGCAATAACATGTTGCCGGATCCGGCGCATGACGGAGGAGAGGAAAAAACGAAATGAGCGAGCGAATTCCGCGCGGCAGCCTCGTCGTCGGTGACCGTAGCCATGCGGATATTGTTGGACATTCCTCGGCTCGTGCGAATGCGGTCATCTGAATGCCGGACGCGTAAACCACGCCGAATGGCCTCGCGAGTCTGGGTCGTGAGGGTGGAGGAGGAGGGGATGGATGATAGAGGGTCGGGAACAGAGCAGGCCGTAAAGGGACACTGGGCACAGGCGGGATACATAGGTGACGGGGAAGAGGGTCATGTCGACGGAGAGGAGGAACGAATGGGGAGGCGAGTTGGTGGTGCCATGCCGTGGAAAATCTATCCACCGCTTGCCGCAGCTATGCCGCTAAATCGCATTCACGCTATTTTAATTAATCGACGGCGTCGGCCTGCTAGCTCGTCGGCACAACTTTTTCACCCGACCGTCCAACCTGAATCTAATCTATCTAACCCGTCAGCCGGATCGGACCGGCGAACTCGAGTTCCCGCGTCATTGCGTAAACTTCATGTCCTTTCGGCATGTGTGGCAGCTCGGATCATCGCGGACACGATTGGAAGTGATTTCCCCGGAAATTAAAAGCCGAATTAAAAGCTAAATCAGCCCCTTAACGCCACAGGGATCACGCTCGGATTGGGAAACGAATCCTGGCAAACGCGTTTATTGAAAAATTACTGCGATGCTTCTGCGTCGAAGTTGATGGAACAAACGCTGGCGAGGCGAGCATCGCCAATGAAGCAGAGGGAACGTTGTCTAATTAGCCGCGTTGAACGTTTAACGGAACCAAGGTATCGAATGGTTCAATCAGGTTCCAACGATCGAGGTTGGAGTAATTGAACGAAAGCTTTATACGTTATTGTACGTGTATATAGCGGTGTATCTCGGTCGACAGTCGGAGGGTTTAATCAAACACAAGTATAGTGGAACGAGGGTACGGTACACTAGATGGGTATGCACGGTGCGGGTTGGTTGTGTGACGCTATTGAAACCGCCGCTATCGCCGGGACCGTTTCGTTAGCAAGGCAATTGAAAAATACGAGGAGAGAAAGAAGCGTAAAACCCGCGTGGACGATCAGTTTGTAAAGGCGTAAAGAGGATTCAGTTTACGCGTGTACGTATGCAAGTATATTTCCTCTTAATCTGTCTCTACCGCGACATATCGTAGGTATATGTTTATACGTTATACGTTTTTTCATAGAATGCAATCTTATTGCATATACTCGTGCGATGATTATATTCTTCGGCTGTTTTACCAATATCGAAGAGCGTAAAACACACCGTTTGAAAATTTACTTCCTAAAACGAATACATCTTCGTTTCCCCAATAAAAATCGTCGTGATCTCTGTCACATGTACGTATAGAAGATAGATTAAGCTTCTGCGAAAAGATGCGCTGCTTTCGACAAACAACCTCAGTTACAAATGAAACGAGTCACGAATGTGTCTGGAACCTTATCGTGTTCATATTACACACGTATATGATATCAAGCGGTCGTACGACACCGTTTTTGATTACTGTCATAAAAATTTATAGGCCCCACCTATCGGACGTTGCCGACGACGCACGACGATACTCGCGTAATAAAGTGAAAACGACCGTCCGAGATTCGCGAAGGAAATAAATGGACGGTCGAGGACTTCGAAAGATCGCTCTTTCGTACTTGTACGTCACCCGTTGAGCCCGTCGGGGGTTACGTATATCGCAAAAGTCTTCTGGAAACGATCCCGTAAGTCGTAAACAACCCTGGAGCCCGTCTAGCCTCAGATATATGACGTAATATTTTTGTGCGTGACAGATCCTGCAGGCGTTTCCACGGCTATCGATCGGCTATATACGCATCGCATCTCACGCAATAGTTCCCTGTGTTTCTTTCCTTCTGATTCCGTTGCTCTCTCCTACGTTGCAAGGAATAAGGCAGTCGCGTTCCCGCCGCCGCAGGATCAGACCAGGCCAGGAAAAATGGCTTCGTTTATTCAAGACGAGTCGTGGCTTAAAAAACGATATTAGTCCGTATTCGGGGTAAAATTCTAGTCGCATTTTCGCAGATGTGAGTGTGAATCAAACAGCACGAGCAAAATATCGTACCTTTATACGAAACTGTCCTTTTTTGATATCCCGAGTCCCGAAGTACGAATATCACTGCTCGTAAATTGTCGAATTAACGTACACTATATGCTTACATTATAGAATCAGCGATAAGAAACGATTGCGCTAGTCGTGAAAGTTGATCGCTGGTCAAATCGTCAATGCAAAATTCGTTGGGAGATTTTCCGCAGGCTTGGGATATCTCGCGGTCGTTACCAGGACGATGTTGATAATGGACGGAAACCGTGGGAAGAGAGACTGCCAGGCAACGAGTAGAATGGGCCGGCCACAGGAGAGTAAACAGGAGACGGCTGCCGTCGCGTCGCGTCGCGACGGTATATGCCGGTAACAAGATATTGACACTGGCCGATAATGGCTCTTGGGTTGGTTGACGGGCACGGCTTGGCCGAAAAGAGAAGCAGCAACTTGAGAAAATGGAGCTGAAATTGGTGAGAGATCTCGGGGATGGTGGACGAGCTGCGAGATATAATACTTTTTCTCTTCAAAGATATTTTTCTGCTCCAAAAATTGTTCCCCTCGTCGACTGACGAGGCGGAGTATAGGCGTTGCGTCGTCGACTAACTGGCGACACGTTTCTACAGCGATTCGAAGAGAAACTTTTTTCTCTCCCTCTTCCCAACCGTCTTGTTAATCGCTCGAAGAATCATCTGCCAAGTTATTTCACAGAAGCGATCGAACGATGAAATTCTTTTACTCTTTTAAAATCAGCCTGCAGAGCACATTCAAGATATCTCTACCTAACGAAATCTTCTAACAGCGAATTTCTATTAACTTGCAGAAGTTCTGTATACGCTGTATTAATGACAATGACAATTGTATAAAAGTTGAATGAGATCACCCTGTTGAAAAGAGATCACACAACGATCTCATTTTGAAACGCGAAGCCTCTATTTTGATAATCGTCAATTTCTCTCAAAGATGATTTTATATAATGTAGCGGGTGAGAAGGCGAGGACACTTTTTTCTCGAAAGTTGTAAAAATTCAAACGAGTGTAAAAACATTAAAAAATTTTATTCATGACTAGATCTATCATGGCCTTGAAGATTAGAATCTTGTCTTCGTAATGAAATTCTTCTTTGAAACTTGATATACGATTTTTCTTCACCATTTTATTGAAATATTGGGGCTTGATAACGAAATGTTAGGACTTCTTGAATTTTTATCGTTTAACCAAATTCAACGTTCAGCAAAACGATAAAAAATCTACCACAAATTTTTGAAGAGCTGTTGCAAAGGGGAAATCTTCAAAATGATCTAGTTGCTAAACAAATTTTTCAATATTTCTAAGTTCAAATTTTTACAACTTTCGAGAAAAAAGTATCCTTACTTTCCCTAGATTCGCTACACAGTGTAAAATCATTTTCGAAAGAAACGAACTCACCACTGTCAAAGTAGGGGCTCACATTTTAAAATGAGACCAAATTGATCATCCTCGTATGACCATTCTTTGCAAAGTTATATCAATTTAAATTATTGACGAATTTTCATTGTCATTGGTGCAATTATGCTCTACATTGCACATCATCAGATAAAGTCTAGCGATATAATATTAGTTTCTAATCTCGTCGCGTTTCCGTGGTCCAGAAAAGTGATAAGAATATATCAATTGAAAAAAGATATTAATCTGATGCTATTAAAAACAGTCAATATGAGATCTGCACGAATTTTAAACATGTCTACATCTTAACGGCACTTGCTGCGTTTTAAGAGGGACGAAGTTTTCGGAGAATAACCAATAATTCAGGGACACATCTGCCGATCGAGCTAATATTCGTCTTTGTCTCCTCTGCAATGGCTGACACGTGATTTATACGCAAGGATATTGGCTCCAAGATGGCGTTACACTTACGTGATGAATCGGTGCGTCGACTAACGCAATCGATACGAAATTACAAGTTTCAGCGAATTAATCTCTCGACATATTCCGATTGTCTTGTCTAATGAAATTTCCAATAATCTCGGTATCGACAAACTGCATAAGACACGAGAACCGATCTCGATTTACAAATTTAAGGAAGATAATCTCGGAAGATAACATTCACACAGGGTTCCAAGTTAACGGAATTCAATGTATGATGAAACACACGACCGTGTGCAATATTTCGATTGTCTTTAAAATAAGTCTTTAAAATCGTGCAGCAATGGGTTACAAATGTTTTTACACGAGTCTGTTATCGGACAAACGGATCGGTCGTCGTTCGCCACTCGAACGAGACAATATTGATGTGCGATGAGTTCAAGAGGTCCCTAGGAGGCATCGTGGAGCAAAGTGCTCGCCCGTAGGACAAGCGTTCATTCTTTTCTCAAGTGGAGATAAATGTAGTTGGGGTCACTTTCTTTCTAAAGTCGATTTTATCAAACACAATCGCGCATAAGGCATCGCTGTCACAATGCGACGCCTCTTTGCTAAACTACGCAATAGTTTGGTCTTTTATGTAGACTGACCATAACGTTCGATTAGAAAGAAATGATACAAGAAAGATATAAGTTTAGCATTAGAAAATATTATATCGCGAAAATAAAGTAGTTTTCGTCCTTCAGCTTTTTAGTTTAACGACAGAAATATATACACATGTTGCAGCCTAGCAGCTGAACGTAAGAAATAAATCGAGCTGTCGACTTCAGATTTTATTTATCGAAATAAATTTTCGCAATGCGGTGCGTAAAATGTTCGCAACGACCGTAGATATGGGAAAAGAAATCGGTGGATGGTTTCGTCGGCCGGCGATGCTTCTGTTACGTGTCGCTCTTAGTCGTTTGGCGAAATATAAAAGGGGAAAATCTGCGTTTTTCCCGCAAGCAACACGTTCGCGGTTAGGGTATCGCCCTAATGCCGCGGGACGTGAAGCGAGTCCTCGTATTTTATGCAGTTTACCACGAAAGCGACTGCCGCGCGGCTATAAACCGTAATGTATTAGCAGGGAAATGCAAATTGAGCACAAAACCACGGCTCGAAACAATGCTTTTAGTCGCGGATGGGCGGGGGTGGGATGCCAGTTGGAGGGCAGGCCCATGCGATGCCGGCTACTTCGTAAATTAACATTAACCCATTATAAATAAACGGTAACTCAAATTAATGCTAATGCCTTCCTCGCATTAAAACCGATATCACTCGACGTTGGATAATGTTCCATGCTCAGAACTGCGTTTCGTCGCAACATAATCGTTCGTGCTTAACGACGTTGATTAAAACGGATGGCTCGCGATCTTCACAATTTTCGGGTCAGACCGATCAAATGTGTATCGTCACAAGAACAGCGGTCGGCAGTTGCAATGTTCAAAATCACGCGAAGATTTTGACAAATTGTCTTTCGACGCGAACTGTCCCTTCAGATGGTATTCGAGATAATCGACAGATCTTGGACTATATTTTAGCCAACACAAATTTTCGTCTAACTCTCTTATGCTGGTAAATTGTTCAAATTGAATTTAGAGGGAAAGTTACAATTTGACACGATCGTCGTTGAAAAG